TCCTTCCCTTTTCCTTCCTTCCTTCCTTCCTTCCTGACCCTTTTTTCCCCTTTTGTGACATTAACATACTAGTTAATGCCTTCTGTCTAGTTTTCTCTTATGGTGTTCATTTAAAAAAATTATTTGTAAGAAGTGTGTTATGTCAAGAATATTAAGACTTCATGTGTTATAAATGTTGCAATTTCTTTTAGTTTGACTTTAACCTTTTAGTTTTTATTGTATTTTTGACATATAGAAGTTTAAAAATCCTTAGGAAATCTGTCTATCTCTCCATTTATGTTTTTTTGTTTGTTTTAGAAAGGCCATAATCAAACCTAGGTTATATAAATATTTGCTATAATAGTTTTCTGCAAATTTTATGATTTAATTTTTTATCTAGAATTTATTTTGGCATTTAAAATTAAGATTCATGGAAAGTTTCACTCTTTCCACCTTTCCAACACATTAGGGATTTATTGTGTTTCTCATGTCTTTTTTGTCAGTTCAATGGTATTTGGTAAAGATAGGAGGTGAAAGCACAGGCTTAGTTGCCACCTTTAAGATCAGAAAGCTGATTTTAAAATAGTTAATTATTTCATTTCTTTTTTGTTTTTCTTACAAGTTTCTTACATGGCCTGTTAAGGTTTTCTACTTCTTGAATATATTTTGGTCATGTACACCTTCCTAGAAAAGTAATACAGTGATCCATTTTTCTTTGTCATTAGCAAAGATTTGTACAAAGTCTTTTCTCATAATTCTCAAAAATATAAATCCTTTATCTGTGATTAAATCTACTCATGGAATTCTAGTTTTCATGTAATTATCTTGTTGCTCCTTTCTTAAGTTGCAGCTAATTAATGTTGTGCTTCTCACTAACAAAGGCGTGTTCATTTAACTGCTGGAATGCTAATTTTATTTAGTTGTAATTTAAAACATTAAAGTGGATATATTTTGGAATAAAATGCAAAAAATAACATGATTTATAAGATAAATGAAGAGAATTCAAAATAATGTGCTTTTGGCCAAACTCGTTGAAACAGAGGGTAGAATGGTGGTTACCAGGGGCTGGGGGATGAGGGGAATTGGGGAGATGTTGGTCAAAGGCTATGAACTTCCAGTTACGAGATGAATAAATTCCAGGGATCTAATGTACAGCATGGTGATTATAGTTAATAATGCTGTATTGTATACTTGAAAGTTGCTAAGAGAATAGAGCTTAAATGTTCTCACCACAGAAAAGAAAAGGCCATTATGTGACCTGACAATGCTGCAATGGTAATCATTTTTCAATATATATGTATATCAAATCAATGGGCTGTACACCTTAAATTTACACAGTGTTATATGTCAACCATATCTCAATAAATCTGGGGTGGAGAGAGAAAACAATGGCCAAAATAACACTAAATCTCTATCTACTGAGCCCAAACTGTGGTCTTCCTCCACCACCCATGGGGAGACCTCTTTGACAAAGTCTTTCAGTTTCTCATAAATTACCCTCTATGGTAGAACTCAGGATGATTGCTATTTATTGTTTTTTTAAATTTATTTATTCATTTATTTCTTTTTGGCTGTGTTGGGTATTCGTTGCTTCGTGTGGGCTTTCTCTAGTTGTGGTGAGCAGGGGCTTCTCTTGTTGTGGAGCACGGGCTCTAGGTGTGTGGAATTCAGTAGTTGTGGCGCACGGGCTTAGTTGCTCCATGGCATGTGGGATGTTCCTGTAGCAGGGATTGAACCCATGTCCCCTGCATTGGCAGGTGGATTCTTAACCATTGCACCACCAGGGATAAAGAGCTTACAGAAGGAAAAGAAATGTGTTTTTAGGAGAATTCAGGAAGAGGATGAGTGTGTTTTACCCGTGCTGTGTTCCTTGTAAGAGAATCACATAGTTATAATGTTTATCTATTTGACTTGTTCTTCAAAGACCTTCTTAGATTTTCTTAGCAAATTTCATTTTTTGAGTCTGTTAATTCATTAATGTTCGACTTTTATCATTTTGTAGCCATCACCCTGCTTTCCTCTTTTTTTCTGTTGTCCTCTTTATTTGAATGCCTAATTAATTTTTTCTCTCTCTATTCTTCGGTATTTAAGATCTTTGAGTGTATAAATTTGACTCTGAGCTCATTCACATAGTTAAATCAAATACCGCTAAATTGAAGCTTGATAAGAATGCAGATTCCTGAGCACCACTTATATTTTGGTAAGTTTGGAGTGGGGTCTAGAAATCCGTTTTTTTTTTTGTTTTTTTGTTTTTGTTTTTTTTTTTTGTATGCGGTCCTCTCACTATTGTGGCCTCTCCCGTTGCGGAGCACAGGCTTCGGACGCGCAGGCTCAGCGGCCATGGCTCACGGGCCCAGCTGCTCCGCGGCATGTGGGATCTTCCTGGACTGGGGCACGAACCCGTGTTCTCTGCATCGGCAGGCGGACTCTCAACCACTGCGCCACCAGGGAAGCCCAAGAAATCCGTATTTTTGAATGAGATCCTCAGATCACATATAGGGAAATCCCATCATAATTATGAATGTTTATGTTCTCATTATCATTATTTTTCTAAATTCACTCTAATAAGAACTTTGACTTGCACTTTGTCCCAAAAGTGTTTAATTCTGTTTTAATTTTCAAGTGGTTGAGTTTTTCATTCACAGTTTCATTATTAATATCTAGTTTTGTTCTATTGAGATCAAGGAAGATGGCCTGTGATACTTTCTTAATTTTTTCTTTTTTGAGAAAATTAAAAATCTAAAAAAAATATAAAATAGTATTATAACAAATACTCATATCCCTACCACCTAGAATTAACTCTTGCTATTTTGCCATATTCGCTTCCATTTAAAAGAGGAAATATATTTTTAGAGATTTAATTAAATTTCCTTTTAATTACTGTCCTCTGTCCTATTTCATTTCCTCTTCCTCATGGGTGCAAATTTGCTATGAATCATTCTAGTATATTTTCAATAGCTTCACATACATATGAATGCATCTATAAACACCATAGAGTGTTTTGCTAATTAATTAGGTTTTTGAGATCTATATATATAAATATATTTAGATATAGTTCATTCCTTTTATCTTCTGTATTCTAATAATCACATTAATCACACTCTATTAATCCATCCCCCTATTGAGAGACATCATATACCTATATTTTTTTCTTATCTTGAGATTTACTAAAGCATTTGTGGCCTAAATGTTATTAAATGTCGGCTGGATACTAGGGGGAAAAGGTACTTTTATGCATGGTATAAACCAGAATTAGAAATTTATACATAAATTTGAAATTTATTCTATTATTCAAGGGCTAGATCTTTATTTCTCCTACTTAATCTGTAACTAAATTAGATACATGTGTTAATAGCTGCCACTACTATTGTGTGCCTGTCAATTTCTACCTATAATTTCTCACCAAAATATCTTCTCATTTTTAAAAATTGTAAACGCAGTGCATACTTATAAAAGCCATCAGAAAATTTTTAATTTTATTTTAAAAAAAAGGAACAAGGGACTTTCCTGTTGGCACAGTGGTTAAGAATCTGCCTGCCAATGCAGGGGACATGGGTTCGATCCCTGGTCTGGGAAGATTCCATGTGCTGAGGAGCAACTAAGCCCTGTGCCACAACTACTGAGCCTGCGCTCTAGAGCCTGCATGCCACAACTACTGAGCTGCGTGCCACAACTACTGAAGCCCGTGTGCCTAGAGCCTGTGCTTCACAACAAGAGAAGCCACTGCAATGAGAAGCCCGTGCACCACAACAAAGAGTAGCCCCCGCTCGCCACAACTAGAGAAAGCCCTTGTGCAGCAACGAAGACCCAATTCAGCAAAAAAAAAAAAAAAGGAACAGTTATTCATAATTTTAGCACCAAGTACTAACCACCATTAACATACTTGTGTATAGTGTTCCAGGTTTCTTTTTATACATACACATACATTGTCTTTAAGGACAGTTTACACATACAAACTGTTTATAAAATATAGTTTTAACATAAAAATATACTTACTGTATTTTTTGGTATTGAAACATGTGATTGTATAATTTCTAACTGTACGGAAATATATAAAACTGAAAATACTCTGTAATTTCCCTGTAACTACCATTTATTTCATGTACACTTTTTATCATACAAATTAACTACCTGTTTCTTAAACAGTGAATATTATTTTTTGTATGGTAATATCATAATATATCTGACCAATCCTGTGTAAAGAGACACTGATTATCTTTTAAAATAATTTTTTAAATGCTGCAGTGCATGTACATTTTATACATATGTATTTTTGTGTCCTTATCCAATTATTTTCATAGGTGAGGTCTCTAAATGAGGCATTTCCAAATAAAGGTGGAAATATTTAAAATGTTAAAATTGCCTTAAGATAACAACTTACACTTCAATTGGCATGACAGTTCATTTTCTCAGCTCTCTCAATGATAAGGTTTATTATTATTTTTCATCTTTGCCAATATAAGACAGAAGAAGAATCTCATTGTTTTAATTTGAAATTCTTTGATTACTCGTGAGCTTAATCATCCTTTTATATGCCCATTGGCCATTTGCACTTCTTTTGTAAAATGCAGGCTCTTGCCTAGTCCTCTTCCCTTCCCCCAAGGGGGGTGTTCATCTTTTCCTTTTTGCTTTGTCAGAGTTCTTTGGTTCTCATTTTTGATCTTTTACTTCGGGTCGGTTTGATTCAGGCTTTCATCTTTTCACTTCACTGCCTGATGGAATATATATATATATTCTCCATTAGTCTTTAATGTCCTTTATAGAAGCTGGCTCCCTTTCCTCTCTTCCTCCTTCCTTCCCTCTCTTTTCTCTTGTCTCCTGTTGTCCCTTTGTTTCTTTCTCTCTGTTTCTCTCTCTCTTCCTCATCTTTTTTGTTTTTTTTCCGGTACATAAGTTTTTAATTTTGACCGAGTCGACTCTATCATCCTGGGCCTGGCGCCGCGTCAGCAGAGGGGGGCGGGGAGGCGAGCGCGGAACTGGGGGAAGGGAAGGGGCGGGGAGGAGCGGGCGGAGCAGCTGCGCGAGCTGCTGGGAGACCGCGCGGTGGGATCACACGGCGGCGGCGGCGGCCCACAGACCTGAGCGGCGAGACCTCGGCCCGCGGCCTACTCGGAGCCCTCTCTCCACCGGAGGACCAGGGATCCGCAGTCTTCAACACAGAGGTACCGTGCTCCGCGCTCCCCGCCCAGCCCGGCCCAGCCTGCTGCGGCGGTGCCTCCTTCCTTCCTTCTTCCCTCGCTCTCTCTCTCGCCCGCCCGCCCGCCCGCGCCTTCCCTGTCTGCCTGCGTCACTGCGGCCGCCATGGCTGAGAACGGCGAGAGCAGCGGCCCCCCGCGCCCCTCCCGCGGCTCTGCTGCGGCCCAAAGCCCTGCCTCTGCCCCGGCGGAGCCCAAAATTATCAAAGTCACTGTGAAGACCCCCAAAGAGAAAGAGGAGTTCGCAGTGCCCGAGAACAGCTCAGTCCAGCAGTTTAAGGAAGCGATTTCGAAACGCTTCAAATCCCAAACGGATCAGCTAGTGCTGATTTTTGCCGGAAAAATCTTAAAAGATCAAGATACCTTGATTCAGCATGGCATCCATGATGGACTGACTGTTCATCTTGTCATCAAAAGCCAGAACCGACCTCAGGGCCAGTCCACCCAGCCTAGTAATGCCGCGGGAACTAATACTACCACCGCGTCGACTCCCAGGAGTAACTCCACACCTATTTCCACAAATAGCAACCCGTTTGGGTTGGGGAGCCTGGGAGGACTTGCAGGCCTTAGCAGCCTGGGCTTGAGCTCGACCAACTTCTCTGAGCTCCAGAACCAGATGCAGCAGCAGCTCCTGTCCAGCCCTGAGATGATGATCCAAATCATGGAAAATCCCTTTGTTCAGAGCATGCTTTCGAATCCTGATCTGATGAGGCAGCTCATTATGGCCAATCCACAGATGCAACAATTGATTCAGAGAAACCCAGAAATCAGTCACCTGCTCAACAACCCAGATATAATGAGGCAGACCCTCGAAATCGCCAGGAATCCAGCTATGATGCAAGAAATGATGAGAAATCAAGACCTGGCTCTCAGCAATCTTGAAAGCATCCCAGGTGGCTACAATGCTTTACGGCGCATGTACACTGACATTCAAGAACCCATGCTAAATGCCGCACAAGAGCAGTTTGGGGGTAATCCGTTTGCCTCGGTGGGGAGCAGTTCCTCCTCTGGGGAAGGTACGCAGCCTTCCCGCACAGAAAATCGCGATCCACTACCCAATCCGTGGGCGCCACCACCGGCTACCCAGAGTTCTGCGACCACCAGCACAACAACGAGCAGTGGCAGTGGATCTGGCACTAGCTCTAGCAGTGCTACGGGGAACACAGTGGCTGCAGCTAATTATGTTGCCAGCATCTTCAGCACCCCAGGAATGCAGAGCTTGCTGCAACAGATAACTGAAAACCCCCAGCTGATCCAGAATATGCTGTCTGCACCCTATATGAGAAGCATGATGCAGTCGCTGACCCAGAATCCAGATTTGGCTGCACAGATGATGCTGAATAGCCCTGTGTTTACTGCAAATCCTCAGCTGCAGGAGCAGATGCGTCCACAGCTCCCTGCTTTCCTGCAGCAGATGCAGAATCCAGACACACTCTCAGCCATGTCAAACCCAAGAGCAATGCAGGCTTTAATGCAGATCCAGCAGGGGCTACAGACATTAGCCACTGAAGCACCTGGCCTCATTCCAAGCTTCACTCCAGGTGTGGGGGTGGGGGTGCTGGGAACAGCTATAGGCCCTGTAGGCCCAGTCACACCCATAGGCCCCATTGGCCCCATAGTCCCGTTTACTCCCATAGGCCCCATTGGACCCATAGGACCCACTGGCCCTGCAGGTCCCCCTGGCTCCACTGGCTCAGGCGCCCCCCCTGGGCCCCCTGTATCTAGCTCTGCACCCAGTGAAACTACGAGCCCAACATCGGAATCTGGACCCAACCAGCAGTTCATTCAGCAAATGGTGCAGGCTCTGGCTGGAGCAAATCCTCCGCAGCTGCCGAATCCAGAAGTCAGATTTCAACAACAACTGGAACAGCTCAACGCAATGGGGTTCTTAAACCGGGAAGCAAACTTGCAGGCTCTAATAGCAACAGGAGGCGACATCAATGCAGCCATTGAGAGGCTGCTGGGTTCCCAGCCATCATAATTACATTTCTGTACCTTGAAAAAATGTATCTTATTTTTGATAATGGCTCTTAAATCTTTAAACACACATAATTGTACTTTACTTTCACTTTGATTCTTTTAAATCTGTCTAGTTATAAATTTAATATGCATTTTAAGGTGGAGTCCTTTCCTCCCTCTTTGTTTCCTCCCTCCCTCCCTTCCTTCCTTCCTTCCTTCCTTCCTTCCTTCCTTCTCTGTTTTGAATGGTGGGAATCAATGCCATTTCACTCAAAGGTGTTGCATGCAAACACTTCTGCTTTTATTGTGATTTTTGGAAACAGGTATCAACCTTTACAGTTGGGTGAACAAGTTTTGTCCTACAGATGTCCAATTTATTTGCATTTTAAACATTATCCTATGATAGTAATTAAATGTAGAATGAAAATATTAAAAACATAAATTAATTGAAGCTCTAATTTGTGGTACAATATTGCTTATTGTGACTTTGGCATGTATTTTTGCTAGCAAAATGCTGTAAGATTTATACCATTTGATCTTTTTTGCTATATTTATACACAGTACAGTAAGCACAATTGGAACTGTACATCTAGAAATATTACAACAGAATCTCTGAGCAGAATATGTATAACCAAAATGAGAAAGGATATAAGAAATATTTCTGGAGCTCGGTATATCTCACAATTTTGTAGAATCTTACAGCATCTTTGATAAACTTCTCAGTGGAAATGTTGGCTAGGCAAGTTCAGTTAAAATATAGTAGAAATGTTTATCCTGGTATCTCTACGTATACATTTAATTGTACAGAAAACTTACAGTGTGACATTGTGTCAACATTTGCAAATTGATTGTATATGATCTTAATCTTAGTGCAGCCTGAAGGATCAGTATAGTAATGCCAGGAAAGTGCTTTTTTTAAGACTTCCTTCTCAGCTTCTCCCATAAAGAGACCCTAATACGCATTTTGATTTGTAATTGGAAATGTAACTTTCACTGAAAATGTCATGTGACGTTTGCATTACTTTTAACTGCTGTGTATAAAGGAAACTGTATCTTTTGACTCTATCAGTTATTTCTCTTGTGCACAGGGAAAAATGCATTAAAAATGACTAAAAAAATAAAAAAATTTAAAATGGATAAATCTTTTCCTTTTTGCCTTCTGGCCCTAGGATCATGTTTAGAAGGATTGCCAACCCCAAGATTATATAAATCTTATCCTGTATTTCTCTAATTTTGATGGTTTTGTTTTTGAAAAAAAGTTCCTTTGCCCTGTCTGGAATTATTTTGATGTATAGATTTAGGTATTCTAACTTTTTTTTCCCCCCGAAGGGTAGACAGTTGTTACCCGGTTTTTATCTCGTTGTCCTCATGCCCCCCTCCATTTGAAATGTCATACATATATATACTTTATTCTGTGTTTGAATTCTCTTTAGTACCACTGAACATTGTAGCCCCAGTACACCAGCCTGTAGTTATTGAGTTAGAAATGACTTCATATCTCTTAGGGTAAGTCCTCCTTTTGATCTTTTTTATTTTTCACAATTTTCTAATGATTCTGACGTGTTGATTTTACCAGATGAACTTTACAGTTATTAGACTTCCCTCCCCCCCAAAAAAATAAATTGGGAATTTGATTAGAATTGTCTTAAATTGATACGATAGTGAGAATTACAGTGCTTTCCAGAAACATGATATATTGCCTCATTTTTAAAAAGCTTTTACATCCTTCAAGAGAGTTTTATTTATTTAAGTCCTGTATAATTTGTAATAAATGTATTCCTAGGTAATACAGATATATGGGAAACAATACTGCAATTGTGAGCTCTTATTCACTGTGTTACCTGTGTGGTCATTTTTGCTATATAGGGGAAGAATGTATTTTCATAGATTAATTTTAAGTTGGCAGTTTATTGGAATCTATTAAATTCAGAGACATTCAGTTGATCCTTTTGAGTTTTTCCTGGTAAGCAATCATATCAATGATAAGTTATAATGATAGGTTATTTTCAAAATTTATAACATAGTTCTGATGGCATGGGTTAAACAATTCCAGAATAGTGCTAAAGAGGAAAAGTGGCAATGGCATTCTTGTCTTGTTTCTCATTTTAACCAGACTATGTTTGCTGCAGCAATTCTAAATTGCATTTTTGAAAGACCATTCCTCTGGGAGATGGTCAAATAAGTTTGCAAAATGCTGTATACTATAGCCCCTCTTGGAGAGTCATTAGGCAGTAAATTTTGACTAGTATTATGTTGTTTAAAGGAGTATGTTCTTTAAACGATTAAAAACTATTTAATCTTATCTAACTCAGCATTTCCTAAACTTATTTGAGTAAAGAACAACTTTTTTCCCTTTAAACACCCTAATAACATTTGGCATATCAATGTTCCTCAGAACATCAAGTTAGGAAATGGTGATTTATTATTTCACTGCTGTATGATACTTGGGTGTTCACAATAATTACAGTAGCAAAGTCTGCCATAATTAAGAATTTTTATGACATGAAGGATTTTATAGGCAATCAATATAAAAATTAGCCAGTAACATAGAAAATAGCAAGAAATCAATAGCTATAGGAAAAACTGGATGTTTTCTGAGGCCTGGCTCAGACAATTTAACAGGTAAATTTCTTTCAGGCATTCAAGGAACAGAGAATTCCTTAATTACCCTTGCCAAATGTTTCTCTACCTTTTAATACATTTTGTTTTCTCCCTGAAAAGGTCCAAGTCTTTAATTTATTAATTCTATTTTTTGGTTGTATTTTTGCTTTCCAGTTAATTAATTTTTGTTTATAACTTTATTTACCCTTTTAAAAAAATTTAAAACTGTTCATCTCTTACATGATATAATTTCCTCTTATTATCTTGCAAGTTCTTTTCATAGGCTCTGTTTTTGTTTTGGGTTTTATCTACTGTTAATTCACAATTTATCCATTTATTCATCGTTGAATAAGAAGGGCATATCCTAACCTGCTATCTTTCTCCCTCCAATAAGAGTGGGGTAATTCTTTTATGCTTTCACTGTTTACTTGGTTGTCGTCCCCTCTCTAAGCTTACACTAGATGGCTAGATGGTGTAAGTTTATATTACTGGCTCTGTGAGCCAGCAGGATGAGGTAGTGGGGAGGGAGCTAGGGCCAGGGGCAATCCCAGCAGGAGATGTTCACCTCAAGTTGGCTTTCTTCATTTGCTCTTTTGGCCTCTACTTCAGGTATGTGATATCATATTATACTCGCCACTTGTGTGTGGCCAGTGTGTGAGTGGGTTGGATATAAAACATTGAAATAAGTCCTCCTGGTTTATTAATGAGGACTCATAGCAGGTTGAGACCATCATGTTTATTGAGACCATGGTCAGAGACACTGAGCTTGCCTTCTGAGAAGGAGCATCCTGCTCCAAAGTCTGTTGATGTGCAATGTCAAAATAGCAACAAATGGAGTAATTCCTGTCAGGGCCTAGCCCAGGGATTTGGGCTAAGGTATCAGGAGAGCCCTTTGGCCTGTGTTTCATGTTCACAAAACTCAAATTCAGAATTTTAACATTATTCTCAAATGAATTGATTACTCCAGCCATACAGCTAGACTGAGCTGGTTGAAAATGTTCATAATACAGCTTAATTTAGTAAATGTAAACTTTTAAAACTATGTGGCAATTTCGATATTTCCAATTTGTATTATTTTATTTAAAAAATGTATTGGGAGGCTTAGATGAAGAATGTTACTCAGGCTTACCTCAATTTATGAGAGGTTCTCATCCCAGTCTTTTTCACTGCCTGCTCCCACCTTCAGTCCTTGCTCCTTTAAGCTAGATGGTATTAGTGCTTTTCTGCCAGGATTTTCTTGATTTGTCAATATATCACAGAACTTAAGATTGGCAATATCTTTCAGTATGGCCCCATCAGCATCATGTCTTACAGAAATTCCTTGACAATTCTAATGCCCTCATTGTTTGTACAGGTTTTGCTCAATTTTTGTTTCCCTGTGGTCATTTCTATTGATTTGTAGGAGGAAGGACAAAAATTGGGGACCTTTTCCAATGCTACCATCTTCCCAGAAGTCTGTTAGGAAACTTAGGGGGAAAACAATTTTCTAAAACTAGAAAGGAGAAAAATGATTTGGATTATGATTTCAGATACCAGACTGAAGCCACCCAAAGAACAACTTCATCAGGTGGTGTACATTCTTACCAAGGCTTTAGACATTTTGATAATGGGTAAGCACCATTGGCAAAAGGTATTCTAAACCAGCAAACTCCAAAGGTTGGGTAAGCCACTCTCAAATAAGGAATTGTTTGTCCTGACATACATAGGCAACATTATTCATCAAATGGATATGTATTGAAGCATATGGCTAGCTAGCTTCAGCTGTACTGAGGTATCTAAACACAGATTTGGGTTCCCTAAGTACTATCAAAATTCAACTTCAGAACTTCTTAGCCCAATGTGTAGATTAGCAAATTTAAGGTAATTTCAGGAAAGATGCTTTAATTTATTATTAAAAGAATAGTTGATGAGCATGAAAGAAAAAAGACATGATTACTCAGCTCTAGCTTGGATTTCACAATATTGTTTCTGTTAGATTGGGATGATAATAATAGCTAATGTATTCATGGTTATGTTCAATTTTCATAGCAACCCTATATGGTAGTACTACTATTATCTTCCCCAGTTTACAGATAAGGAAATAAACTAACAGTTTAATTTTCTGGGGTCACACTGCTATTAAGTGACAGAGTCAAAATTTGAACCCAATTCTGAGATTCCAGAGTGTGTGCTTAACCAGTTCATTCTTCTGCTTTCCCCTGAATCTATTAAACTATACTGGTCTATTTATAATAGAGATTTTTATAATAAATTATGTACTAACTTGCCTCCTGGGTGTTGTTGTGGAGATACATTAGCTGTTGTTAAATGAATGCATCTCTGCTGCTTTTCACACTGGTGCAGCTCCCATAAAAATGCATATGTGAGAATCAGCTTTGTCATAATCAAAACTGCAATTTGGTGGTTTGGCTTTCTGACTTTTGAGTTATGGCGAATATTTGAAACTGTCCTTCAGTACATCTGTCCACAGTGTCCTAATACATACGGTATGCCTCCAAATTGGCAATCACATGGGCCACTTGTGCTTCAGCTGCTCTGGAGGATGCCTGCATTTTGTTGAGCTGCCTCCCAGAGACCTCAGAAGGCAATAAACATTGTGTACCTCACCATGGTATTTGGCAGTTTCTCAAAATGCCCTTAAGAATAAAATTGGAGTAACATGAGCTAGATAATAACAGGCCAGTAGATGGGTTAGTAAGTTGAATTGACAGTGTCAAATGATGTGTCAATATAAACAAGTGGTTTCTAACCTCAGTTCTGTCTCATTGAAATTATTTTTCAGTAACTAGTATGAAAATATAAAATAGCTTGCCCATCCCATGGCAAATAGTATAGCATTAGAAGGCAGAATAAATGCACTGGATGTCACTAACAAGATCCAAAAGTCCTTAGTAGATCGAAGAAAATCTATAGCCAAATCTAGCAGGATTAAATTGAATAGGATAAAATGTAAAGTCTTATATCAAAAATTCAGTTACTAAAGGAAAGGGGTTATGTGGCTTAAAAATAGCATTTGTGAAAAAGACTCAGTGATTTTAATTTACTATAAGTTTAACATGAGCCCACCATGTGAGATTATAGTGCACGTGGGTGTAATGAAGTCTTAGACTCTATTAATAGAGGCATGGTGTCCAGCACAGAGAAGTCCTTCATAATGTTTTTTTCTTTTCTTGATCATTTATGTTGAGAGATTTGGATCATTTCAGAGCACCACAATTAAGATGGACACAGACAACCTGGAAAGTGACCAAGATGGTAACTCATTTACAAATAGACACAGAACAATTATTAAAAGGAACAAGAATGTTTTAGTCTAAAGACTGGGTGTTGTGGTTTTTTTTTTTAAATAATTGAGGGCCTTGTCAGATAGAAGAGGCATAACATTTACTTGGGTAGTTTCAGAGGGCAAATCAATTTAAATTTTACAAGAAGTCAGAATTTTGGCTTACTCTTAGGAACTTTATAGCAATAAATTGAAGATACCCTTGTCACTGGAGCTGTTTAAACGGAAGCCCATTAGACAGAAATATTCAAGA